ATCCATAGTGGGGAAGCGTATCATATGGTCGGCCGCGTCCGACTTTACTACTTTCCTTACATATTACATACACAACAAAGATATTAAATTAGTCAGATTCGCGAGTACAATAATCCTATACATGATTTTTGGAAATTCCTGATTGCGCACTGAAACTAGAAGAAAAATTAAAAAAACTCAAAGTCGAGCTTCAAAATGTCAGCATCATTTAAAGTAGATGAAGTTAAATTTTCGAAAAACAATATATAAAGAACGTAATTGTCATGTAGGCTTGTTCTTTTACTTTAACACTACAGACGTAGAATAAGTGGCTTAGTAAAAAAAAAAACCTTGGAGGTCAACATCAGGGAAAGTCGGCAATAACAGATCAATAAATCCAAGACTTGTACTTTAATATTTATACACTGTGGGATTTTGCGACGAGCATTTAATGTGTTGCAAAGGGAATGTCGAAAATCGAAACCCTCTTTAATTTCGATCATAGTTCCAAGTTCCATGAGTAACACAAAATTAATAAAAAGTTGGACAAAACAACTTTTGAGAAAGGTTGTATTGACATAACCCCCATATAAAGGTCCCATACTGTTTTCAATATTTTAGGTATTTTAGTGTGTCTAAAATACAGGGAGTTATATTAAAACATGAACCTATATTAAACTTTTTCAAGGAAGGGAGTCGTTTACCCTCCAAGAAACCCAATTAAAGCAACACCGGGGCATCTGAAACATCAAAATTCTGAAAATGGTGCAGTACTAGTATATAGAGTCCACACCAAAACGTGAACCGGGATATCCAGTTTTCAATATCAAGCATTCTATAAGATATTGTTATAATTTTGTTATAATTTATGTTATAATTTTGAAGAAAATTAATGCGAATTTTTGTCTGGGTATATAGTTAATGCATTGCTTCAAATTTATTTATGTTTTTTTTTAATCGTTTATTTGCCAAAGGTTATATCATTTACGAGTACATATAATATCTTACACATATTCCTTAGTTTTTTCACAGAAACACTCCAGCCATTAACTGTTTTCACTACCACCTAGTGATTTCACTGCCAGCAAATAAAATAAAAAATAGCAAAACATTACTGGAATGTGCAAAACATGCTGCTGTGGTTCTTTCGTTGCCATTGCTGCAGAAATTTAATTATTGCATTTATTTATTGCGATTTATACAAATCCAATAATTTACATTGTTCAATGCATTCCAAAGGCAATTCACATTGAACGGAATACCTGTCTGACGTGGGTCAGTAATTGCACATTCCATGCACAATAAATAGAACAGACCAATTCATGTTCAAATGGCGGTGTATACATATGTCATGAGCCATGCATGGAACACAATTTATTTCAATAGAATACCCTACGCAGGACCGCTACATTGTTATATATTTGTTTTGTACACATTTTTTAAGAGTCTATTTATATACTTTACCTAGAGGAAAAACGTAACTTTTACCAATACAAAAACAAACTCGAAAAATACATTATAATTATTGAAGATGGTATTTATCGCGTACTTATCCAAGGGCTGGGTAAATACCCATTTGCGGGTATTTATTTACTATATTGAATCGCTAATACAACATCTAACGCCCTATTTACTAATACTTTAAAGACGTGGTATTTATCCATGGGTAAAAACTATTTTACTGCCAAACCTCTTGCTGTCAAAATTTGGCTGCGTTATTTTATACTGAAATGGGGTATCTGGGTCCATGTTTTGATATAGGCTCCATATCACCGTACCTCCCGATTTAAGATAATGTTTATCTATTACCCACATTTCACAATCCAATTGGCTGTAATTTGCCACAGAGAGTTCTCAACATGTAGAAAATATCCATGTTGTCGGCGTAAGTCCACATTTTCTCGTAGCCCCTATAAAACCGTCACTAAATTTAGATATTAACCCAAATTTTTGGGTATAAACTGCCGATCCAGTTGACGTAGGCTGCCAAAATTAGATTGAAGTACTTTTGTTAAATTTATGCATCTTTTTGAACGGGTCTCATAATCCGAATATGTAACTTGCATCGGAAGCATTTCGGGTTTAATTAATTTTGATTTGATCAGATTTGATAATCTGTCTTTTGTGGTTCTAGTATAATAAATCCATTTCGAAAACATTTAAATTATTTATGGCCTGAGGTTTTTGGTCCTAGCATAAAGATGTTTCTCTCGGTAAAGAACACTGTGCAACAAGATTTTGGGTTGTAAAATATTTCTTATACGGATAAAAGTTCTTTCCGAGTATATTCAAAACATAGAAGAAAAAATCGACAATGATCAGGTTTTGAAGTTATGGCGTGATTAATTGTTTTCTGGTACATCTAAAGTTCATGCAGAAAAAGCTTTATATCCTTCTTCTTCAGCGAGACGATGTACAACTTCGGTAGTCTTCGCATTCGATCGAATTCTCTGACGGACGTTAAACGGACACCAAAGTCGAGAGATGAAATTCACACTGTTGACATTTGGCGGCATGTTTTTATCACTGACCTGGTCCAAAAAGGAAAGGTTGGAATTTAAAATGCCAACTTCCATTTTTAGTAAGCACTATTTTTTTTTTTAATTTCCATCATATTGCCCACAATCGTATTTTTTAGTCTCAGGTCATGGAGGGAATAAAACAAAATCACTACACAATGATGCCCTTATTGAATGAAATCGTAAAACGCATGAATACCTGTATTTAATACAGTATAACAGTTGACCATGATGCACAAGGCATATTTGGAAATTCCTTAAAAAGCGAAATTCAATTGGGGAAACACATCGACAGAATGAAATACCAATTAACCGACAATTCAGCAAACTCAGCTGGTAATCCGAATTCAATACACCCTTAATCGTTTGTTTAAGCGCTGTTATCGGACAACAAACTACCTGTTGTGCTTGTTTAAAGCCGTGTGCGTCTTCGAATTCAGGTAGAGCAAGTCGGTTCACAGACTCATGAGTAGTTAGTCTCACCTGTGTAGCGGAGAGAGTAAGAAATAATTCCCATGCAAGTACAAATTCTCATATAAACTCTTTTCAGCAACTTAAAGACAATAATATTAGAGTGCATACTGTGTGAGAGAATTATGCGAGAGCCATGAGACTTTATGCATGTGTACGTGTGTATGTGTGAAATACCGAACTTGTAAAAAGTGGTAAAACAACTCAGTCGAGTTTAGGCCTTATGTCTAGACAACAGCTACATCAGCGAATTTACTTGAGGAAACATACACGTTGAGCTATTCTTGAGTGAACCTGCGCCGCGTCAACAACGATCGTACGGATTAAGCGGGCTCCGTTTCGCTGTGTTATTTTATTTTGATTTTTTTCTCCTTCTCTGTTCGCATCACACACACACAAACACAAGTGAACTGACATTTTTTCAACTTTACTCATGCACACACACCACCAACAACCGAGCGGATAAGCAAGCAAGCATTTGTTATTTATTCTATCCATTCGTCCATTGAATCGGTGTGTCTGTCTATCTATCGGTCGCTCTGTCGGTTGGCTGTGAACTTTTCAAAGTCTCATATAGCCGTGTGTTGTCGCGTTAAGATTCACGTACATGTATGCACTGTGAGAGTGTGTTTGTGCCCGTGTAGGAATGCTCTGCATTGGTATGTGAGTTGGTGACGACGATGTGATGTGATTAACAAAGTGAAAAGTGCAAATTTAAATAAAAATATTTTACGATTTTACGAATAAAAATAAATTTCGTTGTTTTCGAAGAGAAATCGTTAAAACTTCCAACCAATCAAAAAAGAAAGAAGAAATTATAAAAAAAATTCCACAAATTGTTCAATGAAAAGAAAAAATATTAAAAAAATTCACAAAAGCCAATAACAGGCGCTGCCGTCGCTAGCGTAATGTCAAGAAAAACAACAGCAACAATATGATGAAGAAATATCGAAATTCCTTTACGCCATTTGTTTTATTTTGCAACTTGAGACCAAGTCCAATACAGAAATCTGTGTGAAATAATTGATTGAAATTAAAATATCATTTAGATAATAACAAATTAAAAAAAAAACAAGAACAAAGCCAAGATACAACAAGAAAACAAAAAACTAAAACAAAGCAAAGAAATAGGAGTATCGCAATTAAACTAGTATCTGAAATCTTAAACGAATACATTAGCCTACGACGAGTATAATCGTATTGCAACAACATCAACCAAGAATAAATACACAAACAAAGCAGCGCTGAGAACAAGCACGACGAACGAGAAAGAAGTGAATAGCAAACAGTACAATAGCGGAGATTGAAAAATTCCGAAGAAAAAAGAGTTTCTCGAAACAGCAACAACAACAAAACAAACCTAGAAATTCTACAACGTCTAAACCAGAAATTCAACCTTTTTGCCAACCCAGCTAACAGCGGCAGTGGTCGTGGTGGCAGCAACAGCAATATTTACTTAACAAACAGCAGCAACAACAACAATTCAGAATCAGCTAACATCTACAAAGAGGAGGACGAGAACGACGACGACGATAGAACACATACACGGAATACCAAAACAGAAAGACTTGGAGATACCAACAGTCTGCCTGACTGTCTGTCGGTCTGCTGTATTGTCGGTTGATTTGTTTCTTTTGTTTGTTTTTTCTACTTCTCAACATTCCGCCGCTTTGACGTTGCGTTACCCGCTTTATTATCACGTTATTCATACGACCGACGTCTTGTCACATTTCTAAACCAGCGATTACGAAGACGACGACGACGAATACAACGCTTTATTCTCGTGCGGTTCTTTTTTGTAGTTGTATGTCGTTGTAATTCATGTTCTTCACATTATTCATCTTTACTGCGCATGCGTGTTTGTGAGTTTGAGCTGGTATTGGTGGCTACGACATTTCATTGAAAACGTGTTCTCAAGGAAGTGAATTATTTTGTTCGCAATTTTATTTCCACGGAATTAAGGGGGGTCCACGTTATACAATTCTTCTTCTCTGCTCCTCTTAGGGGGAATTAAGTACCTCTTGTTCTGCCATCAAAATGGGCGATTCTACGCCAATTTGCCGTTGCCGTGTTCTCTATTTGGGAAGCGCTGTACCACGCCAAAGCAAAGACGGCCTACAGGGTATTCAGGAACCACTGCGCAGCCTTTACCCCTCAGAGGGTGCGGTTGGCGCCAAAGGCATTGATTCTTGGCTTAGTGTCTGGTCCAATGGCATTCTATTGGAAAATGTCGACGAAAATCTTAAGGAAATTACCAGATTCTTTCCGATTGAATCATTGCATTACTGTGCCGCCGTTCGACAAGTCCTTATACCCGAACGTGGCAACTCGAATCCTGAACCGAAATTTCTTCCACTCGATTCGCCATTTGCACGAATGCCGCGTGCCCAACATCCACCGATATTTGCAGCAATTCTACGTCGCACCACCGGCATCAAAGTCCTCGAATGTCATGTGTTCATTTGCAAACGCGAAGCAGCTGCCAATGCTCTAGTCAGATGCTGTTTCCATGCCTATGCGGATAATTCGTATGCTCGCCAACTGGAGACGGGTAGTACAGGCGGCGGTGCGGGCAGCAGTGTTTATGGAACACTCAAAAGCAATATGGTCGCCAGCAAATCGAATGGCGACCTGACCAGTGTAGGACTTTCGAATGGCAATCATCATCATCACCATGTGCCGTCATCCTCAACCAGTCATGCCGGCTGGAGATCCCGGGCGGGAAGCATCACAACACTGAACAGTGTTGGACGGCAATCGAATGGTCATCTAATGAATGGTGATAGTACCAGTGCAGCCGAGGGCTATACATCTGTTAAGAATTGTAAGTATATATTGTTGTGCCTTGTGCGTTTGTGTCTTAAGTCTTTTGTTTACCTCGCTCTCTCTCTCCCTGCAATACTATCAAATTATTTACGGTATTGAATTTGTCGTTTATTGAAAACAAAACAGAAATACACAAATAAAAAAAATTATTCAATCGAAATGACAGCAGACATTTGCCTTTGTTAACCATATTCACGGCATAGGGTAAACCTGTAATATTAGCAGATATTGGTGAGCTGCTGAGTTGAGTCATACTCGCGAACAATGTATTTTTAGATTTGCAAATTTGTCTGGCGGATGAATAAAACACAAAAAACACTTGAACTGAAGTAGTAGATATGAGATAATTGAATTGATGGATGGCATTACCATTAGTAGTTTTTAGTAAATATGTGTGTGAGTGTATATGTTTGTTTTCATTGTTTTGTTTCTGTTTTTAATCGAAATATGTTATGTGTGAATTTTCTTATTAGTTAACTTCCTGGATGAGAATGACAGATAATGTATATTCCGTTATTTCACTGAATTGAGATATTTGGTACATTTGATTGTGGCATATTTATATAAACTACTAAAATGCATACATTAAAATACCTAAATTCCTCAAGAAATAACTATTTTTGCGATTACGATCTTCTCTGTTTAGGTCCTTGTCCGAATGGAATATGAAATTGTTGGACATTTACTATTGTGATATCTAATATAATCTAACAATGTTTAAATATGGAGGTTTAATAAGATTGATCATAAATACCAAAATTTAAAACTGAATAAGTTTAGGTCAAATTTTAAAGGATTTGGCTGAACCGGTACTTAAGGAAATATCCAAATCGAAATACTACAAATTCACACGGAATTCCAAAATAGCAAATTATTTCCATCCTGTTCGATAATATGTCTGGGCGTTTATCGTGCTGTACTTTTTTTGATGTTTTGGCATATATTGAGGTTCAGATAATTCGACCATGACCCTAAAGTCAGAGTAAATCATACCATAGCCTTAAAAAGTATGATTTATCTTCGGGTTTTAAGCCATAACGGTTATATGTCATAAGACCAATTAAAAAATACGAATGTCTTTTGTCCGAACTGCCAAATTATAATGCATCAATCGTATTATATGGATCAATCATTTCTTTCTGGCCAGAGAAGTATTTTTTCCGTAATTATAACCAAACGTATTAGAAAGCTTGTTCTGAAGACGTGATAAATGGCATAAAAATAATAAAAACTAACAATAATAAAATATGTGGTAAATGTTTAAGGAGGAAAAACACTGTCCGTAGGAATTGCAGTAGTACTTGTGTAGGGTATTACATGGGGCAACAATGTATACTTATTAGTTTACTCTTTTAATCTACAGTAGAAATTACATATAACGATGGTCAAGGGACCGGCGAATTTGGTCGCCGTTATAAACCGATATGTCGTTATAAACGATAAGTCGAAAACCCGATATGTCGTTAAAATGTGTAATAATCAATTAGGGATAAATCCGGAGAATAATAGATGGGGTAATATACATTATTATACATTATTACTTTTGGTCTCCGTTCGCCCGGCATCACACCATGGATTTTCCGATATCTTGATTGATTTTGGATGTTAAGAAATCTGAAATCTATTTACCAAATTGGATTGATTGCTCAGCATTCGTACAAACGAATTTCCTTGAAAAGTCCACGTCCAAAATCTACAAATTGTTTTAGTAATTTAAATTATTCAATTTTTTTACATCATGTTGTAATATCTTGGCTCGATACTGTCGCAAAGAATAAACTATAACTTATATGGCAAATGATTATTTCTGTCATCGACTTGCTAATTACTTAAGTTCACAAATTTGTGGTAACGGGCATTCAGCTCACAAAACTTTCTACACGGGTCAGTCGGACAAACCCAAACAAGAAATGAAAAACAAAAAAGAAGTAATAAAAACTAAAAATGAGCGAATTGACAAATATACATAACTATGTACATCTAAATCTGGGCATTGGTGGTTGGGGGTTTCATTCTTCATTTTTGGCAGTTACCTTCTTTAAATGTGTAACACTTCCGTTCGTAATACTTTAACAAGTTTCCCCCCATGTGCATGTGTATGTCTGAGTATGAGTGCGTTTATATGTCAACATAGTAGTGTATATGGCTAAAAATATGCACTGAAATATGGTTTTATGTCCAGTCTGGTTGTGTTGCTGGTGATGTTGTTGACCAACAGCCAGTATGGCTAAAATATGTGACGTCTAATCATAGAAACGTACGAGTAAAGTATATGTCAATGGTTTTCTTTCTTTCGTGTTTTGTTTGTTTTCATAGTTTAGGCCATCGATTTAAACAGGTTTCTTCAAACTCCATAAGAAATGAATGCAAGTGTGTAGCTTTGATGAGTGAGTTTGTGTGTTATAATTCACCACTTTGTCCCACAATTGGCAGCCATGGGACGAATCTCTTAAAAACAAACTGGAGTCCATTGTTTTTAAATAACACAAGAGTTTGACAATATTTCAGGTCCGCTTAACTTGTGAGGCAACTAGTCACCGTGCAATATTTGTGGGCAACCAGTTCGAATAGAGATCGATTATTTGATGAGAGGTGTTTACAATACAAATTAGCATCTCAATGTAATCTGATGGTCACAGCCATCAGATTGACAATTGTATCGATCTATTTTATATGAGTTTTTGCCGCAATCGATATGGGATTAAGTTGGGCTCTTTAATCGATTATATTTGATTAAACGATGGTGATCATCACCATGGTGTTCATTATGGTTAAGAAGACAGTTTATGGCATTTAATAAATTTAAACACATTTCACTTTTGAGATTTCCACATGTTAATGACAAACAAAGCATTGGTATTTATTTGCAATTTAATGTTAAAAGCATGGTATTGACATCGATATCGACATACATATGTATATCGAAAACTTAGCGAAATCTACTCACAATTTTCGAGACGTTTTAAATAAATTTGATATATTTATATGTTTATTTCGAGAATATCAGGTCCAGCTGCAATATCGTATTTAATATTTTTTCAAATTGGAAAATACGCACATATGTACACATTTGTTGAAAGTTTGTACCTAAAACATATTTCAAAACATTAATAGTTTTGTTGTCACAAGCTATTTTGTTATTTTTATGATGGTAATATTTTAGATTTTTTTCCTCGGCTGAAATAAAAGGTGTCAATAATATTTGTTGTTTTTATGAAGCTATGCTAAAAATATACACATGCATACAGATTGTTTTTTGAAGTTTCATCTTGTGATGTACGTGTGTGTGTGTTTTTAAGGTGAGGCTCATCACTTGTCATCTATCGGAATGTTTTTATTCAATGGTGTCTGAAATGTATTCATACTCGAGTCAAAAGTTTTTTTTGTGTGTTTTGTTTTTGAATTATTTGAATACAAATCGAGCTTTGGTTTCGCGTTTGTCTGCTAGGGGCATCATTAAATCGAGCCATTAAAATATTTGTGAAACTTCGTAATTAAGTTTTAGATATTTTTGTTCTGTTGTTGTTTTCGTTTTTGCGGTGCTTTTTTTATTATCTTGACTTGAGTTGACATAAATAACATTGCTTGGAATGTAAATGTTCGTAAATAGACTCCATAACATTTATACGTGCCAATAAAAACAAAACGAAATGAAATTTTTGGTTGTGCATTGCACATTTGTATGCACGTCCTTTAAATGAAATTGAAAACAAAATATGTTGTGTGCAAAATATTTCCAAAAAATATATTAAAAAAAATACTTATGTATGTGTGCATGCTGTTGTTATACGTGAATTCTTAAAATACCACAAAGTACATAGAATAAAAATGTAAATATATGTATATATTTTTAGTAACGGAAATAAGGAAAATATCTTTTAATTGTATTTTGGAAATTTATTTACCCTTTTAATATGATATATTAAATATTCTAAAAATCTTTTCCATGACTTTGAATAAATAAAATATGATTTCGCAGGATGTAAAAATTGTATGTGCTAACGGTGCTGACGGTAAATGTAGAGAAAAACGTGGTCTCATAGATTTTCAATTTGAAACGCGAATATTTTATTTACTTTATAATGGATTTATAGAATTTTTTCTTTCAAACAAGATATATATTTGGTAAATCGGTTGAGGATTGGCTGAGTTACAGTGGTTGAAATGTGAAAAAATACGCTTAAAAAGACAAAATTCATTTTTCTTCGGACTGTACGATGAAATTATGACATCAAGCCGTATAAGTTCTATTATATTACGGGGAAGAAAATTAAATAAGCTTTCGAAAATGAGAAAAATAAAAAATCGGTTAAAAAATGGATGACCTATACACATATTTGTATTGATTCTATGCATATTCTCTAAAGGAACTATGGGTCTCCTTTTTCCTTTTTCCTGTTACAAACATAATATGTTTGTAAACGAGATAGACCCATATTTCCTTTAGAGAATATGCATAGAATCAATACAAAAATGTGTAATACAAAAATGTGTAGGAATGATAGTTGGAAGAAATCATCTCGTCTCCCAAAGCTTCTACATTTACACCCCCTTAGGTCGGCTAGTTCGTGAATAGTAGTTTCCTAAGAATTGGGTTTAAAGCCTTTCAAACACTGGGCAGACCCATAGGAAATGTTTACACCTCCAGTTTCGCTCGTAATCTTGTGCCTGCAGGCTAAGATGTCCTGTCTGCTGATTTCCTTGTTACGGATTTATTAGTTACAAGCTCTATGGGGATCAATTAATTGTGATTTCACACCTAGTGAACCACCGCAATGTATGTCTCTTTTATTTTTTTCGTTTTAATTTATTTATTTAATTGGACTTTCTTTCTTTCACATATTGATTTCCTGCCCTATAATTGGCAAGTTAATTTGTTGGCTAATTAAAATTTAATTAGTTTTAACATAAATTTCAGATATTTTTCGTATTTTCTCTTTGACTTGGCAAAAACAAAACAATATTCGATCAATGATTTGTTGCAAATGACAGACAACC